AGGAAAGCGCTATGTTGTTTTTTCGTTGTTTACTGCGTTTGGTCAACCGTGTTCAGGCCTGTAGCTGTGGATCTTCTTTCTGTTGCCGTTTTTCCTTTTCTTATCAAGCACAGGCAAAAAACGCACACGGCACACTCAAGACGAACCGAGCAAGGCAGACAGTTTTGGCTGGCGGCCTCAGTACACGCCCTTCCCCGCCGCGGCTGTCGGGGACGTGTGGGAGCGCGGCCGCGGGGAGGGCGGGGGGGGGGGGCAGCGTGCCGCCCGCGCGGCGCAGGAGGTCCGGGCCCTGCTCCAGGTCTCCCACCGCGAGTTCGTGCGCAAGGACGGGCCGCCTGGAGCGCTGGTGTCGGGGAGGAGGAGCGGGGAGGGGGGGGGCGGAGGAGCACGGCTTGGGGGGGGAGGGAGGAACGGGAGGGAGAAGGAGGAGGCGTGAGGAGGAAAGAGCAAGGATGACAATGTCGTTGGTTTGAGGATGATGATGATGCTGATTATGTTGATTACGATCATGATCCTGATGATGATGATGACGATGATGATCAGGATGATGATGACGGTGATGATGATGATGATGATGATGATGATGATGATGATGATGATGATGATGATGATGATGATGATGCTGATGATGCTGATGATGATGATGATGATGATGCTACTGTTGTTGATGAAGATGCTGATTATGCTGATGATGATGCTGATTCTGATGGTGCGGATGATGACGAAGCTGATGCTGCTGATGATGGTGCTGTTGCTGATGATGATGGTGGTGATGCTGATGAGGAGGATGATGATAATGCTGATGCTGACGATGCTGATTATTTCGAGGATGACATCGATGACAACACTTATGATGCCGATGCTGATGCTGATGATGGTGATGATGACGACGACAACGATGATTAGGATGATGAGTATGATGATGCTGCTGCTGACGGTACTGATGATGCTGATGATGATGATGACGATGTTGATGATGATGATGATGATGATGATGATGATGATGATGATGATGATGTTGACGATGATGATGATGATGTTGATGTTGATGAGGATGATTATGATGATGATGATGATGATGATGATGATGATGATGATGATGATGATGCTGATGATGATGCTGATGCTGATGTTGATGCTGATGCTGATGAGGATGATGATACTGATGACGACGATGCTGCTGATGATGATGCTGATGATTATGATGAGGATGATAATGATGAGGATGATGATGCTGCTGCTGCTGCTGATGATGATGATGATGATGATGATGATGATGATGCTGATGATGAGGAGGAGGAGGAGGAGGAGTATCATGAGCAGGAGGCATTGGAGGGATCATACTCTGAAACACAAGGCAGGATGGGTTTCAGGTTAGGACGCGCACTAGGAGCACGCCCACTCGGCTTTGTAAGAACCTCGCCGCCTTTCAGATTCTGGAATCGAGCAGGCGCACGCATGGCTCGAGGCGCGTGGACGGGCGGCGGGCTCCGTTTTCGTTGAGATTCGGCGCGATCCGTCGCCAGATCGGGCAGCCTTGGCCCCGTGTTTCGGGGGGACACCTTCCCCGACCCGTGGACCCGTTGCCCGCTCGCCAGATCCACGGATCCTTCGTCCCTGCTGGCGCGCGCGCGGTATAACCCAGCCATGCGACGGCTTGACTCTTTCAGCGCGGCGGTCCCTGGGAGTCCCGATCCTTCCCCCAGGACCCGGCTTCCATCCTGAGTCGTTTTTGGACGATCCCAGGGCCTGGTCAGGGCTCCCAGAGGCCGAAAACGGTGAAACACTTCCCGTCGTGTTTTTTTGTTTGTTTTGTTTTGTTTTTTTTCCACGCCGCGAACGTGTCTGCGAGAGGGTCGCACCCCTCGCGTCCCTTCTCCCCCGCCCTCGTGCGCGCCAGCAGCAGCAGCAGCAGCAGCAGCAGCAGCAGCAGCAGCAGCAGCAGTGCACCCCAAGGCTTTGGCATCGATCGGACGTGATTTTTTCTCGGCGAAGATCATCGTCAGCCACGCGTAGAGAGGGGTAGGGGGAGGTGGGAAGGCTTCTTAGAAGCACCCCCGCTTCTCAGAAGGCGTGGGCCTTATCTGTAGATGTAAGGCCCGCGCATTCCAAGAAGCAGACTCCCTGCAAGAAGCCTTCCCTCCTCCCCCGACCCTCTCGTGCGCGCCGCCAACACCGAGGAGCATGCAGGATCGTTTCAGAAACAAAAAACATCTCGAAACCGAGGTACAAGTCGGTCGTTGAAAGTAGGTATTTCTGGATTCCCAGATTCCAGTCTACTTTAGGCGACTTCCTGCTTCAATGATCGAGTCGCTTCCCCTTTCCCATCCTCGTTAGGGGGCGGGCGGAGAGCCAGTACTTTTCCAACGCCTTTCAACTTCATGTTCCTGCCTCCTTCTTCTAACCGGTGAGGACGCGCGAGGAGTGGGCGCCCGAGCGACCACACGCCCCCCACCCATCGGCGGCGCGCGCGCCGCCGGCAGCAGCCCCTGGCACACCGTTGCCGCCTTGGGGAGGGGCCTGCCGCCGAGGGGGGGGGGGGGGCGGCGGCGCCGGCAGGGCTCGTGCGGCGTCGACGCGCGCAAAGGTTTTTGACACCGCGTCGATCGTTCAACCCCGAGTCGATCATGGCCCCGATCGTCCAAGGTTGAATTCCGTCGGCCCCACGGGCGTTGCAGCGCCCCTCGGTGCTCCCGCTTCGCAGAATTTTGCCGGGGGGGGCGCTCCCGCCCATGGAGGGGGGCTCTGCCGGCCTGGCCCGCCTAGACGACTGTCCCAGGCGCTGGCTCTCCGCTCGGAGTTCTCCTCTCTCCCTCTCTCTCTCGAGGATCGGCCCCTCCACCTCTCGGAGGAGGAGAAGGTACCTCTACCGCTGCCCTCACCTCGTTTTCTCACGCGTGGGCCTCCTGGGAGGCCCTCGTCGCCACCGCTGGCGTTCGCCCCGGAGCTCTGGCCAGGAAGCACTCCAGGAGAGGTCTGGGGAGTAGCGATATCGGTACCTCCTGGTTTCCCCAGCCTCCTTCTCAAGGCCTCCTAGAGGGGGCCGGAGTAGATGGGGTCGGAGGATCGCGCCGCATCGCCGATGCAGCGGCGATGCATCAACGATGCGGCTCGATGTGGGGCCCTGTTTTCTCCACACCAACGTCGCCGATGCATCGCCGACATCACCAGTGCATGGCTGGTGCATGGCTAATGCATCGGCAATGCATCGCCGATGTATCGGCGATGCGGCGATCCTCCGACCCCATCTACCCGGACCCCATCCAGGAGGCTTCTGCATCCTCGTAATGCCGCGGATGATCTACTTTCAGCTCCCCTGGAGCCCACGACCTGCGCCGCACGACCCGCGCCGTGCTCGCCGTAGCGCGTGCCAAGCGGATGTGCCAGTCACGCTCTGTCGGAGACTGGCCGCCTCGAGGTACTTCGGCGTCACCCCCAACATACCACTTCTATGTGTGCGTCGCTCCCCCAGGGGCGACGCGCGCACCGAGAGATCTTATATTACATGCGTCGTGGCTGGCGCTTTCTGGCCACATCGCTCAGGAAACGATCTACTACAAGATGGATATACCACATGTTCGGGTCGGACGCACACCGCCAAGGAGGACTAGTATGTCCTTGTGCGTCCCATTACTGGGATCCTCGTCCTCCGTGCCATCGCGCACTGTTCGGGGTGATTTTGTGGGGCCCTCGACCCTGACGTTGTCCATGGTGATCCCTGGCTGGATAATCAGTCGTGATGGGAGTGCCGACTTTCACGTTTCGCCGGGGGGCTCCTCCGTGAGTGCGCACGGCGGTCTCATTGTCATCGTGTAGCAGATGCAGCCCTGACCAGAAGCCGAGTACCACCACGATCGCCTCCTCTCCTGTCTTCCTCCTCTTCCGCCTCCTCCTCATCCTCCTCCTCCTCCTCCTCCGTCCCCTGAGGGGGGAGGGTACCAATACCGCTGCCCTCCCTCCGTTTTCACTTGTTTGTGCCTCCCATGCGGGAGGCCCCTCCTGTGCCTCCCTCGGGAGGCTCTGCCGGCGGGCACGCCCAGAAGACTGCCTCCACGGTCTATGGCGCGGGCGGTTCGCTCGGATCTCTCTCTCTCTCTCTCTCTCTTTATTTTTTATTTCTCTCTCGCCCTCTCTCTCTCCTTCTCTCTCTCTCTCTCTTCTTCGAGGACCGGCAATCTTAACTCATTGCGCTGTCGAACTTGTGAAGGCCCAGTGAAGCGACCCCCCCCCTTGAGTTTCGTTCAGTGCGTCGCCCGAGCGTCGCCCGTGCGCCGGCCCTGGTTTGCGTCTCTGTCCCGAATCCTGGCCTCCCAGGGTGCGCGGGCGACATGCGGCGCGACTTCGGAATTTCTCTGGCGATATATAGGTTTCCGACGCCAGTGCACCAGCGGCCATTTTGGCGGTCGCGGCGCATTCCTAGTTCGACGGTCCACCAACGCGTTCTGTTCCCAATTCGGCGCAAGAGGATTTGCTGGTGCTCATTGTCGGGGGCGCCAGCCGTTGCTGAGGACGAAGACGCCTCGCGTTGATTGGGGGCTGTGCGTGTCGCGCCACGGTGGGGGTGACGTCACGTCGCGCGACGCGGCGCCACTTCGCCCCGTCGCATCGCGCCCCGCACCCCCATGTCGTTTCGCGCCAACCCTCCTGCCCCCCCCTCTTCCTTCCTCTTCCCCTCGTCCAACGCGCTGCGCGTTTTGTCCCGTTTGCGAAATTTGTATTCAGTTATTTTGTGTCAGGCTGCCGTCCTGTCCGCCTCCCTACTAACCCCCCGTTGTCCTTCCACCCTCCTGGAACTTTTTTTCTCGCCCTCCTCGCTCCCGCCGCCCCCCTTCGATCGCCTTCCATCGTTCCCGCCGCCGCTGCGCCGCCCCCGCTCGCTCCCTCCTCGCCCGTCCGTTCCCATTTCCGCCCGCCCTTTCCTCGCCTCACTTCCATCCTCTTTTCCCCCCCCCCAATGCATCGGCGGGCGAGACGTCGCCAAATTGCTGCAGCGACGGACCGATGTTCAAAATCTGACGGGGCGTGCGCTTGAAATGGATTAGTCCGTGCGCGCTGCATCTCCATGTCGTCTATTGGTCTCCTCGCGCTCGTAGTTCTCACGTCCGTGTTTCGCTATTTCTACGATTGCCGCGCGCATCCCTCGATTGTTTCGCCAGCGGGCCGTGCAGTTCACATGCCGCCAGGAGTCCGCGGCGCCCTTCGAGCGATTCGCGCGCGACCTGCGCGCGACGCGCGAACGACCCGAGCGACGCCCGCGCGACGCACGCGCGGCGCGCGCGCGACGCGCGCGCGACGCACCCCGACCTGCGCGCGACGCACCCCTGCCAGCGCGCGACGCACGATCGACCCGCGCGACGCACGTGCGACGCACGCGCCACGTGCGCGACGCACGCGCGACGCACGCGCGACGCACGCGCGACGCACGCGCGACGCACGCGCGACGCACGCGCGACGCACGCGCGACGCATGCGCGACGCAGTCGCGACTTTGCCCGCCGTTAGCATTTCTCCGGCAACAATGCGCAACGACCGTCGGCCCGCCGTGCTTGCGCTGTTCACAAGTGGCGGCGGTTGCGTCCTCCATTGCGCCAGGAAGGGCGGTGCTTGCCCCTGTTATTTCCCTTTTCCTTCCTCGTCGTCCCTCCTCTTTTGTCATGCCTCCTCCTTCGTCCTCTCTCCTGCCTCGTCTCCCTCTCTCCTCCCCTTCTCCTCCTCCTTTCTACCGGCCTCCCTCTGTCTGTCCCTCCCCCCTCCTCTCTCGTCATTGTTTTTTCTCCTTGCCACCCCGTGTCCCCCTTCATTTTCTTTTCTCCTTCGGTCCCCCTTCCACGGCCGCAGCGCGTCGCCGCGAGCGGCGCCCCCGCCTTCCGCGAACGGCCCCGCCGCTGGCGGTGGAAGAGGAAAATTGCGAGGAGAAAAGGAGGGGGGGGGCAGGGGCGCGAGGTGGGCGCGGCGGCAAGGGTGGCCCGGCAGGGGAATGGGGGGGAGGGGGGGGAGGACGGAGTGGGCGGGTGCTTCTGTAATGGTCATGTTGGTGATCATGGTCGTGGTCGCGTTCGTCGCCTTGGTCGCGTTGGCGGCGGTCGTGCCGCTGGTGGTGGGCGGGCTGGTGGTGGTCGCGTCGGTGATCGTGCTGGTGTCGGTCGTTGTGGTGGTCGCGAGAAGCGTGGTGGTCGTGGTGGTGGTGATGGCGGTAAATGGTGTTGGTCGTAATCGTCGCGGTGGATGTGGTTGCGGTCGCGTCCGTTTGTGGTGATCGTGGCGGCGGTAGTTTTGGCGCTGGCGGCGTTTGCGGCGGCTGTGGCGGCGGCTGCGGGGACCTGCTGGCCCATCGCCGGGCTGCGTTCAGCAACATCGCTACATTTGTAATGTCAGGGGGATTTGCTGATATGCCGAGGTAGCCCAGCGGCCGCCTTCTTCTCGCCAAGAGGGCCGCAGCGTGGGCGACTTTCTGTTTCCCCGAAGGCGACCGGCCTTTTCAGCGGCCGTGGAGAGGGCGACGCGCGTGCGATCCGCCTCGTGGGTGTCCGCCGCGCTGGCGACGTACTCACCAAATTGCCTTCTTGCGAGGGCGACGTGCACGTTCGAGAGGGCGGCTGGCCTTTTCGGCGGCCGACGCACGGGCGGCGCACGGGCGACGAATGCGCGACGCACCTCCTGTCGCGAAGGGGGGTGGGTCAGCACGCCGGTCGCTTTACTGGGCCTTAACAATCGAACTCACGGTTTCCTTGCTCGCCTCTGCGCTCGCGCGCCGCCTCCCGCCGAGATCCCCTGTGGGGCGCGCGCTCTGAGGGGTGGCGCGTCCGCGGGTGCTGGCCTGGGGGGCCGAGGGGGCCCCTGGCCGCCGCGAAGTGGCCGTCGTGCGCCCCCGCGCGGCGGATCGCTCTCAGGCTGCGCCCCGTCAGAGGAGGACGAGGCAGTGCTACCGCTGCCCTGCGGGCGAGATTTGCTCGGCGGCGAGCGAGGGGGGGGGGATGAAAAGGGACGGGCCTTCCCAGAAGGCTCGGACGTCCCCACGCCTTCTGAGACGTTTTCGAAGCCTTCCCCGAAGACGCAGAAGATCTACCAGTAGGCGCGAGGGCCTCCGAGAAGTCCCGTCGCCTTCTGAGAAGGCCTTCTCCTTCTCATTCCCCCCCTCGCTCGCCGCCAATGTGTATCCATGTCCATTACAGCTTGGAGTTCCGGGCGGCTCCCTGGACATCGAGAGCCAATCGGCCCCCGGAGGCTAGATGTTTATGCAGATCCAGTGCGCCTCGGCCTTCTGGCGCCCCTTCTCAGAAAGTCCAAGACGCAATGGGTATGGATCTATGCCTCAACCACATACCTGCCCCTGGTTTTCCATTTTCTGTGTCTCCTGAGAAGCCCTCCCTCGTCGCCACCGCTGGGTTCGCCTCGGAATCCTTGTCATAACACACCTTGGGAGAGGTTTGGGGAGCACTGGTACCTTTCGATCACCCCATCTCGAGGATGTGCAATCCGTTGCTTTCAAGTTTTCCTGATTGTTATTGGCTGCTCGACTGTTGCAGGCCCCGCTGGAGGAGCCAGCGAGCCCTCGGGAGGAAGGGGGCCTCGGGCACTATACGCGCCACCTGTTCAAGGATGACATCCCTCTTGATGTGTTTTGCTGCATGATGCTCCAACCTACTTGAGCCTTGATCACCAGACATAACTTCGAGCACCAAAGCACCGAAACTGGACGGTTTTTCATGTGTCGGGCATTGGGAGGCGATATTCGTTCGACATTTTGCTAGCGTGTCGGGCAGACATGGTTTCGATAATGTTCTGGGTGCTCGAAATTATTTGTGAGATGTGGTCCGTACGTACGATGGGAACAACCTATGTGTTGCTCTGTGTGCGGCGCCACATTTCTTTTGACTTGCGTTTTTGGGTGTGCGTGTTTGTTCGTTCTCTTCCTGTGTGTATCTCTCTCTCTCTCTCTCTTTCTCTTTCTCTCCCTCGCACTGTGGTGTGCTCTGTCTCGTCCTCTCGTTCGTGAAGATATCACGATTGGGTGCTTTTGGCTGTTTCGGGCCTCTGGGGACCCTTGCCAGGCCGCGGGGCCGTATCAAACGCGACTCGGGATGGACAGCCAGTCGGCTTTGTGGAACAAGGCAAGGCATCGGAGTTCTAGGCCTCTTCCCGCGGGACCAGCTTTTCATCATAAGGTTTTTTTTTTGTTTTGCTTGGGGCCATCTTGGGACTTTTTGGGGCCTCCTGGGCGCTTTTTGGGGCCATTTTGGAGGAGATCGATCAAAGAAGAGGGGAGCTCTAATTAGCGTCTCCCCCCCATGAGGCCAAATGAGGCCAAAATCATTGGCCCAAGAGGCCAATGATTTTGGCTTCCTCGCCGAGGCCGTTTTAGGCGCTCTCACTACCCGCGACCGGCCCCGTCCATGTCCAGGGGAAGGGGTAGGGGGAGGGGTGAAGGGGACGAGGGAGGGGTGGAAGAGGAAACACCCTAAACCACCTACGCCCAGAGCGCTGGTGGGATTTGCCGGCTTTCCTCTCCTGACTGGTTTTCTGGGTGACAATTTTGCGCAGACGCCTCAGTTGCTTCCAGCCCCCCCCGCCCCGGGGACCAGCTTCTTATCACGAACCACTTGCTGCCGGTCCCTGGGTGCGGCGAGCGCCTCCAGAGGCCAAACTTGCAAAAGACCTCTCGTCGTGTTCCTCGCCACCACGACACGAGGCCTAAAACTGCCAAAGGCCTCCGCGTCGTGAGGACGAGGCCTGAAACTGCCAAGCACATGCGTCCTGACTTGTCCCAGACGCTGCTTTAGGCTTCCTAGAAGGCGGGTTGAGGCTCGCGCCGCATCGCCGATGCATCGGAGATGCGCCTCGATGTGAAGCCCGATTTTCTCCACGCCAGCGTCGCCGATGCACCGCCGGCGTCGCCGATGCATCGCCGATGCATCCTCGATGCATCGGCGATGCGGCGCGATCCTCCGACCCCATCGGCTCCGACCGCATCTGGGAGGCCTGGGACACAAAGTCTCGGGCAATGCAGGACGGAGGTCTCCGACAGCCGTGGGCCTCGTCGCGTCGTGGAGATCACGACGGGTGGCCTTTTGGCAGTCCTCGGCCTTTCTGCCGTCGTGGAGGGAGCACGACGGGAGGGTCCTTGGCTGTCTTCGGCCTCTGGGAGGCCTCTCGCCGTGGACGCCCCTGGGAGCCCGACGCCCCCCGGCCAGGAGCTGCGGGCGCTCGCCGCCCGCCTCGAGGCGCAGCTCCCGCGCCCCGCCGAGGTCGGAGCGCGCCGGCTCGGCGGGCGCCGGCGGGGCCTCGCGGGGGGGGGCCGCCAGCGCCTTGTCGTTGGCGGAGGGCGCGGTCCGTGTCCGCGGCCTCGCGGGCCAGGCCCCCGTGGGCCGCGACCCCGCGGAGACGGGGCGCCTCTTCGCGGGGGAGCCCGTGAGAGACGTGGCCGATACCGAGGGAGGCGAGGAGGGGGAGAAAGGGGGGAGACGAGGGAGAAGGAGTTGGCGGGAGGAGCAGGAGGAGGGAGGTGGGCGGAGGGGGAGTTGGCGGCGCCCCTCTTTCAGGAGGCGGGGGGGTGTTCTTCTGATAAGGCAGGAGGCTCCCTACATCGGTGGCGAGCCCAGGGGGGGAATGAGCGTCAAGGGAGGACAAAAATACCTCGACCCCCATAATTGGCGCTTGGGAAACGACCCTGGGCGTTTACTGAACAGCTCTGTCCTGTTCGATTCCTTGCATGGCTGCGTTTACTAAACGGCTTCGCTTAACGAGGTGGTCAGTATGAGGGTGTTTTTTTGCCCGCTCTCTAGAACAAGGGCGGGCCTTCTCAGGAGGCGGTGGGGCGAAGCCCTCTCGCCATCTGAGAAGTGTTCTGCGCCTTCGGGGAAGGCTTGCCTGGCCTCCAGGAAGTCTTCTTAAGAGAGAGCGCGTTTCGCGGGCGCTTGCTTGGAACACATACCCACATGACACCCCCCTGGAACCCCGGGGGTGCGTAAACTCCCCCCCGCCCCCTGGGTTCGAACCCAGGTGGAGGGGGAGCTTCCCCCCCTCTTCAGGGGGGTGGTGTGGGAAAGGCGACGACGACGACGACGACGACGACGACGACGACGACGACGACGACACGCCAGCTAAGACGACGACGACGACAACGATGCCGACGCCGACGCCGACGTCGACGGCGGCGACGGACGCCGCCGAGCACGACGCCGAGCACGACGCCGACGACGCCGACGCCGACAACGACGACGACGACGCCGAGCACGACGCCGAGCTCGATGCTGAGCACGACTCCGACAACGACGCCGACGCCGATGCCGACGCCGATGCCGATACCGACGACGCCGACGACGCCGACGCAGACGCCGACGACGAGCCGATCACGACGCTGGCGACGACACTGACGCGGACGCCGCCGACGCCGACGCCGACAACGACTCCGAGCACGACGCCGACGCCGACGACGACGGCGAGCACGACGCCGAGCACCACGCCGAACATGACGCCGACGTCGACGTCGACATCCATGTCCACGACGAAGACGACGACGCCGATCACAACGCCGAGCAACACGCCGAGCACGACGCCGACGCCGACAACGACGCCGACACAGACGCCGACGCCGACACCGTAGCCGACGAAGAGCACGACGCCGAGCACGATGCCGAGCACGACGGCGACGTCGACGTCGACGACAACGACGCCGTCGCCGACGCCGCCGACGACGACGACGCCGGCGCCGACAACGACGCCCAGCACGACGCCGGCAACGACGCCGACGCCAGCGACGACAAGCACGACGCCGAGCACGACGACGAGCACGACGCCGAGCACGACGCCGACGTCGACGCCAACGCCGACGACGCCGACGATGACGACAATGCCGATCACGACGCCGAGCACGACGCCGACCACGCCGAGCACGACGCCGAGCACGACGCCGACAACGATGCCGACGCCGGCGCCGACGTCGACCCCGACGCCGATAGCGACGACGACGACAACTCCTGGCGCCGACGCCCACACCGACGCCGACGCCGTCGCCGACGCCCACATTGACGCCAACGCCGACGACGACGACGTCGACGACAGCGACGTCGCCGACGCCGACAACAATGCCGAGCCCGACGCCGACGCCGACGCCGACGCCGACGCCGACGCTGGCGACGGCGACGACGACGACGACGACGACGACGACGACGACGGCGAGTCGAACCGGGGGGGGTTCTCCCCCCTTGTTTCCCCCTGGGTTCGAGGCCGGGGGCTTTCGAATCAGTCAGCGGCGGAGGACTTGCGGTGGCGCAGTGCTTCGTCCCTTTCTGTGAGCGTGAGGCATCCTACTAGAGTGGGCTGCTTGTCGAAAGTAATGCTATTTTCTGTTTGCGAGGGTTGCCACCCCATGGAAGCCTGCCAGAGTTGTGGATGTTTGATCTTGGTATCATCGAGCTTCGACGGTTGTGAAGGACGAATCTTTACTTTTTTGGTGAAGTGGGATGCGGCAAGAGGCTTGGTGTGCGGGTGCTACGTCGGGCTCAGAGCTTGACGCTTCAAGGTCCACCTACCCCGCTGGGCCGAACACCGCCCCACTTTTTCTTGTGGCTGCGCCTTCGGGGCTGGCCATCCCACGAGCAAGAGCCTCTGACTGGGGATGGCGTCCCCCACGATCACCAGGAACTTCGAGTTCTTCTTGGGCACCTGCGACCCTCAGACGATCAGCGGGGGCAAGGCCTCGCGCAAATTCCGCGTCGACGGGATCGACGTAGACGCGGGGCTGGTGGCGGCGCCCCTCGACGACCAGTATCGGGGGCGCGGCCGCGGCCGAAGCCGCGGGGAGGGAAGGATGCCCCCACCTCCCCGCGTGCCCACGCCGCCATGGCGAGGGGGTGAGCTTGCCGCCCGCGCACCCAAGGCGTCGGGACTGCCCCCCCGCCCCCTCTGGCGATCCTACTCCTTGGCTGCTTCTAAGAGGAGGGGGGGTGGCAGGGCTCCGCTCCACCTGGCGGGCCCGCCGCTGGCGCGCGGCGCGGAGCGGGAGCGCCAGAAGGACGCGACGGCACGGTTGCGCCAGCGCGAACGCATCAGGAGGAGGAGGAGGCAGGGGGAAGGGAAGAGTAAAGAGGGAGACGAGGGGGAGGCTGGCGAGGGACGAGGAGGAGGAGGACGACGAGGAGGAGGAAGAGGAAGAGGAAAAGGAGGAGGAAACGGAGGAGGAGGAGGAGGAGGAGAGGAGGAGGAGGAGGGGAGGAGGGGGAGGAGGAGGGGAGGAACACACGCCACAGCGGTGTAGATCAGGTCGGTCTAACGAAAAAAGGAGGAGGAGGAGGAGGAGGAGGAGGAGGAGGAGGAGGAGGAGGAGGAGGGACGAGGAGGAAGGAGGAGGGAGCAGGAGGGGCGACGAGGAGGGAGGGAGGGAGGAAGGGGCGACGAAGAGCGGTGCGCGGCGCCAGCCAGCCGCCGCGCGAGGTCGCCTCCGCGCCAGCGGCCGCCCCACCATCGCCCTGGGCGTTCGCAGGCGCCAGCCTGGCGGCCGAGGCCCACCCCCCGCGGCGTCGCCGCCACCGCACGCCCCACAGCCGAGGAGGAGCAGCGTTTCCAATTGGAGCCAACGGGGGAGAGGTTTCAGGCGCAGGGTTCGAGAAGGTTTTTTCCACACCGTCCCGTGGTGTTGGGTCCTCGTTTTGAAGAGACCGTCCCCGCGTTCCCTCCCTCCTTCCTTCCCTCTTTCATCCTTCCCTCCCTGCCTCTGCTCTCTCGCATGCCCATGCCGGCGCACCCGTCATTCGCTTCGTGGCCCCATAGGGTGCTACGCCGAAGGTCCAAGTGGCAGGGTCCGCATGCAGTTCCACCTCCATGTCGGCGCACCCCTCACACGCTTCGTGGCTCCATAGGGTGCTACGCCGAAGGCCCCATGGGCAGGGTCCGCATGCAGTTCCACCTCCAGGTCGGCGCACCCCTCACACGCTTCGTGGCTCCATAGGGTGCTACGCCGAAGGCCCCATGGGCAGGGTCCGCATGCAGCAGGCACCTCCAGGTCGGCGCACCCCTCACACGCTTCGTGGCCCCATAGGGTGCTACGCCGAAGGCCCCATGGGCAGGGTCCGCATGCAGTTCCACCTCCAGGTCGGCGACCCCTCACACCCGCTACACGGTTCCATGGGCAGGGCGCCGAAGGCCCATGGGCAGGGTCCGCATTCCACCTCCAGGTCGGCGCACCCCTCACACGCTTCGTGGCCCCATAGGGTGCTACGCCGAAGGCCCCATGGGCAGGGTCCGCATGCAGTTCCACCTCCATCGCACCCCTCACACGCTTCGTGGCCCCATCCGCACATGCAGTTTTTCGTGGCCCCATAGGGTGCTACGCCGAAGGCCCCAGTGGCAGGGTCCGCATGCGTTCCACTCCAATCTCGCGCACCCCTCACGTTCGGTGGCCCCATACGGTGCTCCACCGAAGCCCCAGTGGCAAGGTCCGCATGCAGTTCCACTCCAACCGACGCACCCTCACACGTTTCGTGGGCCCCATTGGGTGCTCCACCGAAGGCCCCAATGGCAGGCCCGCATGCAGTTCCACCTCCAGTTCGCGCAACCCCTCACACGCTTCGTGGCCAACCATAGGGTGCAACGCCGAAGCCCCCATGGGCAGGGTCCGCATGCAGTTCCACCTCCAGGTCGGCGCACCCCTCACACGCTTCGTGGCCCCATAGGGTGCTACGCCGAAGGCCCCATGGGCAGGGTCCGCATGCAGTTCCACCTCCAGGTCGGCGCACCCCTCACACGCTTCGTGGCCCCATAGGGTGCTACGCCGAAGGCCCCATGGGCAGGGTCCGCATGCAGTTCCACCTCCAGGTCGGCGCACCCCTCACACGCTTCGTGGCCCCAGAGGGTGCTACGCCGAAGGCCCCATGGGCAGGGTCCGCATGCAGTTCCCACCTCCAGGTCGGCGTCTCCCCTCCACGCTTCGTGGCCCCATAGGGAGCTACGCCCGAGGCCCCCATGGGCAGGGTCGCATGCAGATCCACCTCCAGGTCGGCGCACCATCCCTCAACACACTTCGTGGCCCCATAGGGTGCTACCCGAAGGCCCCATGGGCAGTCCACAGGCAGTTCCACCTCCGAGGTCGGCGCACCCCTCACAAACGCTTCGGGCACCATAGGGTGCTACGCCGAAGGCCCCAGGGCCAGGGTCCGCATGCAGTCACCTCCATTCCGGCGCCACCACCCTCACACGCTTTTCGTGGCCGCCATAGGGTGCACGGCCGAAGGCCCCATGGGCAGGGTCCGCATGCAGTTCCACCACCTCCAGCGGCGCAACCCCTCACACGCTTTCGTGGCCCCATAGGGTGCTTACGCCGAAAGGCCCCATGGCAGGGTCCGCATGCAGTTTCCACCTCCAGGTCGCGCCCCCCTCACTACCGGCCCGCCCTTCGAGGGCCCCATAGGGTGCTACGACGAAGGCCCCATGGGCAGGGTCCGCATGCATTTCCACCCCACCAGGTCGGCCACACCCTCACACGCTTCGTGGCCCCAGAGGGTGCAACGCCGAAGGCCCATGGGCATGGTCCGCATGCAGTTCCCCCTCCAGGGCGGCGCACCCCTCACACGCTTCGTGGCCCCATAGGGTGCTACGCCGAGGCCCCATGGGCAAGGGTCCAACATGCAGTTCCACCTCCAGGTCGCGCACCCCTCACACGATTCGTGCCCCAAGGTGCTACGCCGAAGGCCCCACGGGCAGGGTCCGCATGCAGTTCCACCTCCAGGTCGGCGCACCCCTCACACGCTTCGTGGCCCCATAGGGTGCTACGCCGAAGGCCCCATGGGCAGGGTCCGCATGCAGTTCCACCTCCAGGTCGGCGCACCCCTCACACGCTTCGTGGCCCCATAGGGTGCTACGCCGAAGGCCCCATGGGCAGGGTCCGCATGCAGTTCCACCTCCAGGTCGGCGCACCCCTCACACGCTTCGTGGCCCCATAGGGTGCTACGCCGAAGGCCCCATGGGCAGGGTCCGCATGCAGTTCCACCTCCAGGTCGGCGCACCCCTCACACGCTTCGTGGCCCCATAGGGTGCTACGCCGAAGGCCCCATGGGCAGGGTCCGCATGCAGTTCCACCTCCAGGTCGGCGCACCCCTCACACGCCTTCGTGGCCCCATAGGGTGCTACGCCGAAGGCCCCATGGGCAGGGTCCGCATGCAGTTCCACCTCCGGGTCGGCGCACCCCTCACACGCTTCGTGGCCCCATAGGGTGCTACGCCGAAGGCCCCATGGGCAGGGTCCGCATGCAGTTCCACCTCCAGGTCGGCGCACCCCTCACACGCTTCGTGGCCCCATAGGGTGCTACGCCGAAGGCCCCATGGGCAGGGTCCGCATGCAGTTCCACTTCCTGTTAGGCGCACCTCTCACACGCTTCGTGGCCGCATAGGGTGCTCCGCCGAATGCCCCAGGGGCAGGGCCCTCAAACGCTTCGTGGCCCCATAGGGTGCGCCGCCCAAGGCCCCATGGGCAGGATCCGCATGCAGTTCCACTACCATTTTGGCGCACCCCTCACACGTTTCGCGGCCCAAAAGGATGCTCCACCGAAGGCCCCAGTGGCGAGGTCCGCATGCAATTCCACTTCATGTTCGGCGCACCCCTCACACGTTTCGTGACCCCATAGGGAGGTCCACCGAAGGCCCTAGTGGTAGCGCCCGCACGCGGTTCCACCTTGCACATTTCGGCGCATCCCTCACACGATTCGTGGCCTCACATGAGGCTCAACCGACGGCTCTGGTGACAGCGTCAGCATGGCGTACTCGTGCCATATTCGGCACACCCGTCACACGCGTCGTGGCTCCAGAGAGAGGTTTACCGAGGACGATACCCACAACTGCGCTACTTACAACTGCGCATGGTTTGGTCCTTCACCAGGATAGTTTTGTTGTTGCCTTTTTCAGCCTGCAGGGGCCGTTTTCGGGCCTCGGGACCGTCAAAAACGGATCTGGGGTGGAACACTGCACTTGGTGGACCCCGATAGGGGCTCGGGAACCTACTTTGAACGGATTTGGCCTGGGGAGGCAGCGTTCCCAGACCCGAAGAAGAACTTCGGAGCTCTGCATGGATTTCTTAGATCCGCGCTGGACCCCCTCCCTGGCGGCGCTGGAGGCGCCGCCGGGGGGCCCAGCGCAAAACTATCAGATCCCCCCTGGTGGCGCCTCTGTTGCAGCCCTTCGCGCGGATCCAAGAAATCCGCGCAGAACATCGCCAAAAGTTTATGTTTATGCACATTGTTGTTCCGACCAGACCACCTTTTTGCTGTTTTCGGCATCTGGGGGCTCTCGCCGGGTCCCAGGAGCGTCAAGGAACGACTCAGGATGCAATGCTGGCCACGGGGTATAGGTCGAGACCTCCAGGGAAGCAGCTAGGGACATACAGTCAGACCGCATCATGAAGGATGGATGTATTTTGCTAGCCCAGGGTCCCCTCGCGTCCTTGCATCTTCGCCCCATCCCTGGCCACTTTCGCTGGTTGGCCCTCAAGGGTGGTATGGTCCTGTCTCACTGTAGCTCGGGCCCCCCGGACGCCATATCCCCCCACCGCCGCCCCTGGCGCCGCCTTCGTCGGCGTCGTAATCGCTTCTCATCTTCGTCTTCCTCTGCCCTCAGAGCGCGAGTCGCGAAGAGGTCCGGGAGGATGCGGGTCGGATCGGGGCGAGGTCAGGGGGCAGATTTTTGAGGAGGGGGACCCGTACATGCAGGCGCCGCGAAAGACTCACGCAGTTTGGGCCTCGGGGGGCCCCGTGTCGGGCCCCAGGACTGTCAAGCAGCAGCCCGCAATGCAGGCGCGGTCCCCGGGGAGGAGGTCGAGCGGCTCAGAGGCCCGCGCCGTCGTGCGAGTCTCGCGACCTCGGAGTCCTGGGGGGGGGGCCGTCGGGGCTTCGGGGCAGGAGCCGACCCCCTGTGATTGTATAGCCTTTCTCGCCAGCTGTGGAGGACGCCTTCACGGCGGCGGTATGTGGTTTCACGAGTAGGGTGTTTTGGACTGATCGTGGTTTCGGGGTCGTGTTCACGAGAGGCACGAAACTTGATAATTCTCGTAGCGCCTTGGGCAGGAGCTGGGAGATTCCCACAGAGGTTCTCCTCGGAGGAGGCTTCGGCGGCGAAGTCCGAACCCTGCTGTCGCCGATCAGCGATTCGGGCAACTCGGTAGGCGGCGGGGGCAGGGTTCGGATTCGTCGAAGACGCGGCGAAATCTGACCCCGACCCCCGCCTCCCAGCGATTCAGGAGAATCGATGGTTTCTGGGGTGGGGTTCGGATCTCGCTACCTTGGGCTGGAGGGAGTGTCCGGCATCGCGCGCGCGGGTGGGGGGAGGAGAGGCAGGAGGAGGGGGAGCACCGCGAACAACAAATATCTACAGCACCCTTGATCCCCGACCTTCGACTACCGTGGGAAAGCCCGTGAGCCTTGCGAAGGCCTCGCGAATGGGATCGCTCCCCGCCTTTGGTCGTGGCCCGGTGGGCGTGGCGTGGTGGAGGGTGCCGGTGCACACCCCCCGCTCCCCCTG